ATATGTCTAATATAGCGCTCGTGTTGTTTGTATTTAAGAATATATTTGAAGCATTTGAACGCTTCTCCCATTCGCTGAGCCATACGGTTGGATACGATCTGTACAAATACATGTCTCCCGTGTCCATTGAGACGCCCATATATGGTCGCGTAGAGTTGGACGTATCGAACCATTTTGCACCCTCAATAATAATTGTGCTAGCTCAGTGTTTGCCAATGGTGCTGTCGGCCCTACAAATTATCTACGACCGCAAAAACACTAGTCTTGAGCGTATGCTTGTGGCCGGTGTGCGACCGATGGAGTTTTACCTCGCTCACGTCACACAGAATTCTAGCCTAATTATTATTCACGTGTTTAGCCTAATGTTTATTGCATTTAAAATACTTGGCGTGACGTGTTTAGGTAGTTATGTAAATATTTATTTACTGCTCGTATGGCAGGCCCTGTTAGGCATGTCCATTGGGCTCATGGGTGCCCTTATATTGTCCGATGAAGTTTCTGTTGCGGTAATTATTATTCAAAAAGTTTATAATTTGTGTTAAATTAAATTATTAATATATTTGAAAGGTTGGTTTATCTGGTCTAATGCTTCCCTTATGGATAATGTCGGGTGTTTTGTGGCCCTTGGAGTCTATACCTACTTATTTCCGGTACATCTCTGATTTGAGCCCAATTACGCTGCCATTGGATGGCTTGCGGTCAATTATGTTTAGGGGCTGGTCATATACTAGACCTACCGTATACTATGGATATATGATATCAATAATTTACACGTTAATAATATGTGTACTAAATTTGGTTTTATTTCAAAAGTTTTCGGACAAAGCATTTTCTTTGAATATTTGGAATTTTAGTTATAAATAATTATAAATTTTCTGAAATGTTTTTTAAAAATAATTTTCTTTATTGTAAATTAAATGTGATGAGTTCTTTACACGAGCTTAATTTGGACGGCATAGTAATTAAATACACATTCTTAATTTAGTTTTTATTTGGTTTAATGATTTAAAAATAGTTGTAAATGTTTATGTAAATAAATAATTATTACTCAATTTATGAATTTGTTGCTTCGATGAATTTAAGAAAAACAGCAATTGATATGTAAATTAACTGTAATATAATTATGTATCAATTAAACATGTTTAAAAATTGTTTGCCTTACCTCATATAATCTGAACTCATTTATGATAAATAAA